TTGGGGTAATTTTGGACCTGATGTCCAAGCTGACTCTCTGGCCTGGAATAGGCTGCAACCTGCTGCCTGCCGAGCTGGAGGGAGTCAGGGGTGGGGGAAGACCCCCACACGCCAGCAATCAGTTAAATGAATGTCCATCTCTTCCCCAGCACAATTCTGGCACTCACAACATCTCAGGCTAATTAAGACAGGGAAGGGCCGTGATAAATGACCCGACTCCATTACTCATATCGGCCCTGATCTAGTGGCACGCGGTAACGTGCGTGCGAGAGAAGCACTTCCACGACAATGCAGAAGTCGCCGGGGCTGGGCCGTCGGAAAGACACATCACAGGATACACGCTGTCTCCGCAGCCCAGGCGTGTGTACGTGGACGTGAGTGCGATGCACAATTCGGGAATGCTGGCGCACCCAGGATCAGCTGGATTGGAAAGATGTGGACCGAGTTCCTCTGACGTCTGCGAGGGGGTTGATCTGTCCATTTCCCAAGGAGTGAATCATATTGACAGGTTGAATTATATTTCAAGATGGGTTTTTTGTTTTTTTTTCCTCCCCCCTTCTCCCTCCCTCCAAAGACCATTTGTAATCGCGGCACATTGCCTGCCTTTTAAAAGCGAGCTCAGCCAGCGCTGGTCACATTGAAGCCCTCCATCCTGTGCAAAAGAAGGAGTCTCCTGAGCGGTGGGGACATGGGCAGGATCGGTTCAGCTCAGCTGTGCTTTGGGATGCTTGCAGTCTTGGCCATCGTGGTCTACATCCCTTCCACACACGGGAAGCCTTTTTTACTGCAAGGTAAGCTGAAAGGCCAGCGTGCATTGCTCACACAGGTGGGCACTCGCCTCTGTTGGTCATCTATCTGCTTCTCTTTCCTGCTTGCAACCATTAGAGCACATTGATTATTATTTGCAAGGTCATAAGATGACCTAGGCTCACCATCTGACTCGCCTGAGACCTGCCCAGGGACCAGTAGACCTGTCCCTCTGCCCCATTGCTGGGTTTTAAAGCATGTTGCATTTAACTATCAGATCAGAAGCAACCTGCAGGATGGGTCTATACCTTCCTGGTCTTCAAGAGAAAAAAAATTCTCCGGTGTTAGACAGCTATGGCCTCAGCATGTACCATGTTAGGTCTGACAAGTTTTAAGAGTCAGTAGTAGACGAGGGTTAAATGTTTTCTTTTCTCCCCGCCCCCCCACCGAAGAACTGGCTTGTTAGATGCTCTTCTTCACTAATTTAAGTTCATCTTTTCCGGGACTGACCCTGCAGGGAAATGCTGGTCATTAATCTTCCTTATTCAAGAGCCGACGCAGGGAAAATAACAACAGCTCTCTATAGACTAGAGATCCACGTACCACTCTGGAAATGACTTTTCCTCCAGTACAACCTATTTGCCTTTTGGTAGTGGCCCCCAAAGCATTCCCGAGGTCCCTCCAGCTGCATTCAGCTGACGCTTATTTTTATTTCTTTTTTATTGCACATTTGTATTTTTTTCCTGAAGCATGTGACTGATTGGAGGCATTTTGAATGCCTGGTCTACGATAGCTTGAAATACGCAACCCCACTGACCTCTCTGGGTTGGATGCCTGCTTGTGAGTGAGGTCAGAGTCAGGCCCTTTTAATGGATGTAGTGCATCCAGGATGGTTTTGGCCCAGCCTTTGTGGCAAGCATTGTTTTAATTGCTCCTTTGGAGACTTACACAGCGATGTCTAAATATACATCCAAGTGGGCAGGTTCTGGTGCATCCTCCAGCCCTCTCAGGTCACCTATAATAACACCCGTGCAGCACGTTGGAGGGTTCATCTTGGCCTTAAGCCCATCAGGGAGGAGGCAGAGGAGGTTTCCTGGCTTCTGGTCCAACTCCCTGCAAGATGCACAGTTGCTTCAGCATCATCCTTGCTCTTTCTGGGGCTTTGTAGAAGCTGCTCCTTCATTTTGGGCATGGAGACAGCAAGTTGCATGCAGCCCTACACAGCTGGGGAGCCCCTACCCCCAGCCTTAGTCTATACAGGAGACTGACTGCACACAGCTGGCAGCTCCTAATCTCCTACGCCTTTATGCATAGGGCATGGACCTATGGAGGGTCTTCCATGGTCAGCAGAGACTGGTGAATGGGGAAGGGGGTAGAGGGTTTAGTCGATCTTTCCAAGGTGGGGCAACCACTTCCCAGATGGCACAGGCTAAGGACACACTCCACAATAATCTCAGAGCAGGCCCTGGACCCCCTCTGGTAGCAGGAAATGGAAAGGCTGAGTTCGGGGAGGGGGTCCCTATGTACAGGGGGATCCTTGCATGGCCCAGTCGGATGCTTTCCTAAGGGAAAGGGGACATGTCTGGGGGCTGCCTGCTCTCTGCTGTGTCCGGCAGCTGGAAGGGTGCCTGGGCACCAAAGGGAGACGGACAGCTTCACTGGGTGCAGCTCAGATCTAGCAAGGATCTGGTGATGTGGGTCCAGCATGGGTGCAGCTGCCCTAAACTGGCAGTGGGGTTTGTTCTTGATGGTCTGATGCACTCCCAGCCCTGGCAGGATTCTTGCAGGTGCATCCTGACAGGCAATTCGGATGCAAAAGCCCCAGGCCCTGAGCTGATTGGGGAGGCTCCCCCAGCCCCTTGCATTCAGCCTGGCCACTGCGCTGCAGTCTGGGGTTGCCAGGGTGGGCAGACACTTCATGTGAGCCCCACTGTCCAGAGCCATCACCCCTCTGCATGCCTCTTCCTCCCAGCCTTCGTCCCAGCCGACGTGTGGGAACGGGTCGATGTCGACCTGGGAGGGTGTGGGCAGTGGGGTTCCCCAGAGCTCGGTCCTGGGGCCGGTGCTGTTCAACATCTTCATTAGCGACCTGGACGAGGGGGTGGAGAGCACCCTGTTCAAGTGCGCTGATGACACCAAGCTGGGGGGTAAAGTCAATACACCGGCAGGCAGGGACCGCATCCAGGCAGACCTGGATAGGTTGGAGAAGTGGGCGGATCTGAACAGGATGCGGTTCAACAAGGACAAGTGCAGGGTGCTGCACCTGGGGAGA